GGGTGTCTGCTGACACTCCCTTGTGTGTGTGTCTGCGGGGAGAAAAGGCGCAGCGTGTCCCGCGTGTTTACATCACACCTTTCCCTGGTGCCGCTTTGTGTTCGCCTGATGGAAACCCACTGAGGCTTTGATGTCGGGGAGGGCAGGTTTCTGCAGCTGTTCCCGGCAAGCAGGGTGCTTCCCATGGATGGCAGCAGGGCCGGGGAGAACTGGGGGTAGGGTGGGGGGTTAGTGGAGGAGGCTGGGCCTCCCCTGGGGGCGCTTGGGCCACCGACCCAGGTCTCCAGCTTTGAGGTGAGCGAGGTCCCACAAACAGCGATGATACGGTGACTCACAGCTGCCCTTGAGAGGGTCCCATATTTCTTCCCACTGTACAGACGGGCAAGCCAAGGCCCAAAGAACTGGCCCAGGGACACTCAGCCAGTCCCACCGGCAGGGCTGGGCCCCCTGATGGTCTGGCTTTCAAGACACACTAAGAAGTCAGTGGGGATTTCTGAGCCTCTGTGGTCCAGCCTGCAAACTCGAGAAGCCGGGTCCCTCCATCCCTTTACCTGGTGGCTGCGGATCTGCCACCTCCCTCCGGCCAGCCATCGCAGGACAGGCAGAGAGTCACGACAGTAGTGACGAGGAGGCCCTGCCTGCGGGACCTGGGAAGAAGGGCCTGGCTGCGGGGTAGGACAGACCGGCCTTTGAAAGCCCTGTGGGGCACAGGGCAGAGTGCAGAGGCTGAGGTTTAAGACATAGATCACACCGGGCTCCTCCACCCCCCCACCCCACCCCCGCCCCTGCCCCCAGGTGCACGGCCCCGTGTGTGCCTGTCACCTCGCCCTTACACCAGTGACTCCCCACTCCAAGCAGGAGTCGTCAGTGCTGAGTAAGCTGCTCAGAAGGGGCCGTGGTAGGGGAGTCATTGGGGCTAACCCCAAGGTCAGTCATCTGAGCTCACCAGCCCACACAGGGAGGAAAGGCAAGGCCCCCCGAGACCCGGGCGGCTGTGAGTTGAATCAGCTCCACACAGACCTTCGAAAGACTGGAATCAGGTTTGAGGGCATGTCCCTGCTGGGTGCACCTCCTTCTGATGCTGTGAGCACTGTCCACCGTCTCAAGTCTCACCTACGGCGGTCCCTCCTGCCCAGGGCAGCCCGGCTGCAATCACTGCACTCCAAAGCCTTCAGGCTGGTGCCCTTCCTCCATCTGCCCCTAGGGGGGACCAGAGGGGGCGGCCCTGCCCCGCCTGTGGTCAGCATGTGGGGACTGCAGACCCCACTTCGTGGCCCTTCCATTTCCCAGCTCCCATTTCCTGCCCACAGATTCACTTTCCCCAGGCCATTGTGCAACACAGGAGCCTGAGAGGAATGGAGGCCTCCTAGGAGCCCCCCTGGGGATGGGGCGGGGGGGGGCGCCCGGGGGGGGGCGGGGGGGGGGGGGGGGCGTGTCTCCCTTTTCATGATTTACAATGATGGACGCAGCTGCCAGGTCTTGAGCCTCCCAGCGTGCTGGCGGCTGGGTACCGCTGCGAGTCTCCCGCCCCGCCCCCACTGCACCAAGGGCACCCTCATCCTCAGCACCATTCACTCGTCTGCCTTCAGAGCCAGGCTGGGGGGAGGGGCGCGGCGTGGCACTATCCCAGAGCCCCTGGATCAGTGGGACGATGGAACCAAAGGATGATGGGTACCCTCATCCCCCCAGAAGGGTTCCCAAACGAGGCATTTGAGCCAAGGGAGGTGCAGATCCGAACTTGGCACGTCTTCACAGCCGCCTCCAAAAGCCAGGCCTCACTGAGAGTGGTCAGAGTGGCAGTGGGACGGACCATTGTGGACTATGCGAGTGTGGTGGGTGTGATGCTGCCCCTGGGGCTTCCGCCCTGCAAAAGCCCATCCCAATAGCAGCCAGCAGGGCTGAGGACAGGGCCAGAGAGACGGCACATAGTAGGGGCTTAGCCAAGCGTGTGTGTGCATTTTGCTGGTGGCACACACTCCCAGATGCCCATACTCTGCTTATGTCGTGCTTCTGAATCCCCTGCTCCTGTACCAACTCCCCAGCGAACTCCTCTGAGTGCCTCAAAGCCCAGGTCAAATAGCCCCTCTTCTTGAAAGCCACCTCTAATCTCTCCCTCCAGGCAGAGCCGATCCTCTCCCTACCCTGGAATTCTGAGGGTTGCATTGTTTATTCGGCGTCTGTGGGGCGCCTCTCAGGTGCCAGCCACTTACAGTGTGGTGCCATGGGCCCACGCTGGCTCAGAGCGCGCCTGTGGGACCGGGCAGGACTGCCCCTGTGCATTTCTGAGGCCCCGCTCATTACCGGAGTAGAAAGCCTTGTCTTTCTCCGTGGAGTGGCCGGTGGCTTCGAACTGTCAACCTTGTGGTTAGCAGCCTCCAGCACATAACCCACTGCACCACCAGGGCTGTCCCTGTTTCCTATTGTCAGGCTTCAGGGCCCCTGTGGGCAGGTGAGGAGGGCTGGGATGGAGCTCCTGAGGGCTGGGCAGGAGGCAGAGCCCTGGGGTGAGCTAGAGACTGGCCTCCGCGTTGCTCTCGCCCTTCCCCCTCTCGTGCGTGTCTCCTCTCCCATCCTGCCCACCAACCCTCTCGGCTGCTACTCCCCACTCTCTCACATCTGGCCCCCCTCTCCTCAGAACCCCCGAAGAAAAAGCGGTCTGTGGTGTTGGACGAGATCTTAGAACATCTGGAAGACAGTGATGGTGGCAACGAGTAGCAGGCCCTTCAGCTGCGAGCTGTCGACGTGCAGGTACGTGGCTCCTGGGCTCTGGGGACCAGGGACAGCCGCGCTGGCTTCAGCACACCTGCCCTGTGCGGAGGGGTTGGGGTGGGGGGCAAACAAGCCACATTCTGGGTCAAGGTCACTCCCGGTGCTGACGCCAGCATCCTGGGCGCCCAACACCATGTCTACCGCTCGCGTTCTGCCTGCATGGCGCTGGCGCTGGAAGGGCAGTGGGGCCAGGGTGGGGATGGGTGCATTCGATGCTCCTTGGGGCAGCAAACCAGCCTGGTCCCAGCGGGCCCATTGGCCTTCCCTCGTCCCAGCAACTCTGAGCAGTGGGCGGGCTGGTCAGGCACAGGGTCTCGCATCCACACACAGGCCCAGGCTCAGGTGGCCACTCCCCTCACTTCCTGTCCTCCGGCTGGCTCATTCCTGCTCCGGGGCCTTGGTCCTGGCCAGTCCCTCTGATAGGACACCCTTCCTGACTGACATTTATCCCCTTTCAGCTGCCAGTCCACGTCCCACCTACCCACAGAGGGACATCTGAAGGAGAACTTTGGCCTCCTGCCCCCAGCCTACCTCAGCGCCCCATCCCTATCAGACGGATGCAGCCCCTGCCAGGAGGAGCTTGGGGTTTGGTAGCGTCTTGGAAGCGTGTCTGCCTTGTGGAGCATTCTGGAACTATGACAGACGTCATCCTCATGGCCACTCTGGGCCAAGGTGACCCGGGGACCCACGTGACAAGCACACAGACACCCAGGAGAGTGGCCACAGATGGGCAGACGCCACCCAGAAACACCTGTGTCCAACTGCCGGGTACACTGGCAGTGACTGCCGGCCCCCCGCACAGTGGGTCACCAGGGGAGTTTTGGAACTGGGTGGGGGTGTATTTGCAGCCATGGTGGGACGGACATCAGACACCAGACAAGTTGGAAACAAGATCCTGAGAGGTTCCAGAAG